CCCAGAGTCCAGAATGCAGACCTGCCAATGGCTGGCTACTGGTACTACTGGGACACACTGTATTTACGCCTCTTAAGTGAGGCCAGAAAGTGACTAAAGGTCATCCGGGTCAAGACTGTGGCCCTTGCAGCCCACACAGAACAGGTCCAGTGGGGTGTCTCCAAGAATTCCTTGCCTGCCAGGCCAGAATCTGGGGGATGAATTTTAGGTAACACCCAGGCCCCTTCATTTGGTGGGGAACCAGCAGAAGCCTCAGGTGCTGAGACTCCAGGTGGGGAGGGTTGTTTCTTCAGTGGCAGCTATGTGCTGCTTCTAGACAAAGTACGGGTTAATTTGTAATCATTTGTGGGTGGAAAGGGGATAAAAGTGTAGCAGACTGAAACAAGTTGTAAAAAAGTAGGGGTGAAGGAGAAAAGAAGTGTGTGTGTGGTCGGGGTAGGGCTGTTGGGGTTCAGGGGTTCTGAGGGCTCCCAGCTCAGGGAGGGTGGTGGGGAGCACTATCATGTCACCCTTATGGGGAGGGTGGGCTCTGGTTCCTGGGCAGCTAGCTTCCTCTGCCTGGTGTCAGGGAGGTGGGAGTGACCAGATTGCAGGATGGGGAATGTTGTCATCTGCTTTGCTCCCTGTGTGTGGTGGTGAGGGCACGCTGCGCATGTGTGTGTGTGTGTGTGTGTGTGTGTGTGTGTGTGTGTGTGTGTGTGTGTGTGTGTGTGTGTGTGTGTGTGTGTTTTGGGGGGCGGGATAGAAAGAAGGAACTGAGGCACCTGCCACCCCTACATTGTAAACACCAAAGCCAGACCAGAATCTTTTTCCAGATTTTATCTGGCACTGAAAGGCTTACCTGCTGTTGGATCTTGGTTATGGAGCGGGCAGTGTTCAGTTGTTGAGGCAGAAAATTCCTACTATCTACATTGGGACCAGGTTGTTTTCTGGGGGCACCATGGGGGGAGGTGAGCAGCATCCCTGGGCCTCACCCACTGGATGGCAGGATCACCCCCAGTCTTAACGACCACAGATGTCCCCAGACACCACCCAGTGTCCCCGCAAGTGTCATTTTCTCCTTCCTCTACCTAATCTAGGGATGCATACAAATGCTGACCCTAAGAGAGAGGCAACCTCCACACTCAGCAGGCCACAGTGGTTAAAGGCTCAGGGTCGGCACAGGTGGCCAAGGCAGCCTGCCCTGGCTGGGCTTGATGGCGACTGAGATAAATCAGCCGAGGGGAGGTACCTTGCCAGGAGAAGGGAGTCTGTGAGAGGTGAGGAGCCCCCAGACTGCAGGGAGGGAAAGAAGGCACCCAGGAGGAGGGCTTCTTGGAGGTGGTGAGAGCTAAGCTTCTAGGAAGGGACAGTGGAGGGTGTGGGAATGGCAAGTCAAGGATGGAGGGTCCATGCCTGGTGTCTAGCATGGCGAGGTTAGGCATCTGGACATGGGGATGGGTGGGGGAGTCTGGGGGTCTCACTATGATTTAAAAGAAAGATTTGCAGAGTGTAGTCAGCTGAATAATAGCCCCCAAAGATATCCACGCCTAATTCGTGGGACCTGTGGACATGTCACCTCACGTGACAAGGGAATTAAGTGCAGATGTGGTTAAGTCAAGGCCCCTGAGATGGGGGTGATCCTGGATTCACCAGGGGGCCTACTGTCATCACAGGGTCCTCATAAGAGGGAGGCAGGAGGCTCAGAGTCAGGGAGATGGAAGAGGCTGCACTGCTGGCTGTGATGATCGAGGAGGGGCCACGAGGCAGGGACATGGTGCTTCTAGAAGCTGGAAAAGGCTAGAAACTGTTCTCCCTGGGGCCTCTGGAAGGACCAGCCCTGCCCACACCTGGGTTTAGGTCTGTGAGACCGTATCAGATTCTTGACCCCAGACTGTGAGATGATGTGTTGTTTTAAGCCATCCAGTTGGTGGTGACTTGTTTCAGCAGCTGCAGGAGACTCATACGTGAGGTGATGGGAATATGTCACTGGAGGGTGACACTTGGTGTGTGCATTTGACAAAAGCCATCTGACAGTGCACTTCAGACTTTACATTTCAGTCCATGTAAATTTCATGTAATCATGAAAACCACAGACAGGTCCTGACTGATCTCTAACTTGAGGCGTGCGCCCTGGGGTGGTTCCATGCCAGCAGCTGATCTTAAAACAAAATTTACAAAGTGAAATAGGTAAATGGAGCCATGGACAGCTGGATGGAGGCGGCCCAGGGAGAGCACAGCAGAATATCACCTGTAGCATTTAGGTGGCAGGTTATGTGGGCCTTCACTGTAAAACTCCCTCACCTTTCTGCACATTTGAAAAATTTCAAAATACATAATTTTAAAAAGTAAAAATAAAAAAGGACCGGACATCCTTTCACCACGTTCATTGTCATTTTCAAGCCTGGCCACTTCTCCTAACATTATTCTCAGGAACAAAAGCTATTGAGCCAAGCAGCAAGGAAAAGGGGAAGTAAACAAGGACCAAGTATCATTAATTTGAGTCAAACAGCCTGCAGCAAGAACCAGGCCCAAGGAAGGCTTTCTTTCTTTTTTTTCCTATTGGGTAACAGTGTGTTTTTCCAGGACCCATCAGCTCCAAGTCAAGTAGTTGTTTCAGAGTAGTTGTGGAGGGCTCAGCTCAGTGGCCCATGTGGGAATTGAACTGGCAACCTTGGTGTTATGGGCACTGCACTGTAACCAACTGAGCAACTGGCTACCCTCAAGGAAGGCTTTGAACTGCTGCAACTTGGCCACATATCCACACACACATCTGTGGGGGATGATAAAATGCTGGTAGCATTGCCACAGCTCTGTAAAAACATGCAGTTGCCAAGGACCACAGGGCACAGCCAGAATGAGCAGTGCTTATCTCAAACTGGTGGCCGTTTTGTTTTTTTGATCCGAGATACACACACACACACACACACACACACACACACACACACACACACACGGTCTGACAATTAAGTTCGCAAACTTGTTACAAAGATGTTGCTAACCTTTTTTGATATCAGAGGGATTATTCATTATGAATTTGTACCAACTGGACAAATAGTTAACCAAGCTTACTATTTGGAAGTGCTGAAAAGGCTGCATGAAAAAGTTAGATGACTTGAACTTTTCGCCAACAATTCATGGCTCTTGCATCACAACAATGCACCAGCTCACACGGCACTGTCTGTGAGGGAGTTTTAGCCAGTAGACAAATAACTGTATTGCAACACCCTCCCTACTTACATGGTCTGGCCCCCAATGACTTCTTTCTTTACCCGAAGTAAAGGAAATATTGAAAGGAAACATTTTGATGACATTCAGGACATCAAAAGTAATACGATGACAGCTCTGATGGCCATTCCAGAAAAAGAGTTCCAAAATTGCTTTGAAAGGTAGACTAGGTGCTGGCGTCAGTGCATAGCTTCCCAACGGGAATATTTTGAAGGTGGCCATAGTGATGTTCAACAGTGAGGTATGTAGCACTTTTTCCAGGATGAGTTTGTGAACTTAATTGCCAGACCGTGCGTGTGTGTGTGTGTGTGTGTGTGTGTGTGTGTGTGTGTATACTGGGGTGCCAAAGAAATGTATACACATTTTAAGAGATAATATCTATGCTCAAGCAGTAGTTCACTGTAATCAGAAGTGTCTGGACACTGATGGTAACCACTTTGAGCATCTCTTGTAATTGTAGAAGTCAAATGTCACTTGTATTCATCTTTTATCAGTATATATCATTACAATTAATACATTTTTTTCCTATCTTAAAATGTGTATCCATTTTTTTGGCACCCTCTGTATGTCTTTCTATGCTCCTCTATACACTTTTCAGTACTTTACTTTTAATATTTCAAACGTTTTTACAAAGGTTTCATTATAGAAAAAAGAGATTAATAGACTGAGCATGAACGTAGTTGCTCTGCCATTAATTTCCAGCCCCATGTTGCCCAGGTCTCTCTTTTTAGCAAGTTGTTGCTAAATATAAGAGTGATGGATACTCATTGAGGGAGCTAAATAGATGTGGGTATGTTTCTTACCGGACTTTTTTTTCCTGTGTATATTTCTAATATCTGTGGTTATACTCTATATGCATATGTGTATAGCCAGGCACACAGGCCACCCAGTGTGTGATTCCACTTATGTGAAATGTCCAGAACAGGCACATCCACAGACAGGAAGTGGTTAGTGGTTGTCAGGGGCTGGGGAAGGTGGGGATTTGGGAAGTGACTGCTAAGAGAATGGGGCTTTTTTCGGTGGTGATAGAATGTTCTGGAAGTAGATACAGGTGACGGTGGCACAACTGTGTGAATGTACTTAACACGATTGAATTGTACTCTCTAAAAGAGTTGAATTGTATAGTGTGTGAATTGTGTCTCAATAAAACTGTTATTTTTAAAAGATGACAAAATAATTTCCCACACGGCTGAGCTGGGCTTGGTGGTGATGCGTTTGGTCATCAACTAAACAAAAGTATTCTTGTGTGAATAGGTGTCATGACACCTACAGTTATCAAGTGGTTATTTAAGATGGATTAATGCCTTTTAACCTTACTGATCCCCTGGGAGAAAGTGATCCCACTTTCTAGATAAGCAAACTGAGGCTTCTGAGCTGGTGGCTTTGCCTGGGCTTTGGTTGGGCCAGCTGGCAGAACCTGGATTCCTGCAGCGACCTTGTCCTCCTCCAGGAAGCCCTCCTTGATGCCCCAGGACTCCATAGGTCACCCTGGTTATGGGGGAGGCACACAGGCTTGCTGATTGAATCCGTGGGAGAAGCCAAGGGGACCACACTTTGTGGGTGCTTTCACCCCCAGGGTCCCTTTTTCTGAGGCTCAGAGACAGGAAGTGATGTTCCTAGGGTCACTGTGGCCAGCCTGATAGTGGTTCTGTGCAGAAGTGGGGGTGGGTCACCTCTGGCCAATGCCTGGTCCGGCTGCAGTGGGGGACGCTCCAGTTATGCCTGGCCCTCCTCCCCTTCCTACTCCAGCCACAGATCTGATTGGCCAAGCCTGCTGCCTCCGGCCACCTGTTGCTGTCTGTTCTGGGGCCGCCCTCCATCCCGTCCACCAGGCCCAGTGAAGCGGCTGTGGAGTAAGTGGGGCAGGGGAAGCCTGGACAGAGGTTGGGGTCCCCAGGGTCTGAGGAAGGCATCTCTGAGGTCCAACGGGGTCTCCAACTCTTGTGGCTGTCCCCGTACATACCTAGGGGCATGCACTCCCTGCCCATTGGGCCCCTCCCCCACTGCCCTGCTCCAGCCCCAGGGAAGGGTCGCCTTTCTGCCCAGGGATGGGACAAACTAATGCTGGCAGCTGAGGTACTAGGGGACTTGAAAAGCAGGGCTTTGGGAAGCCGACAGACTTGGGTTTGACCTCAAGCTCTGCAATGACCTCTGGCCAATGCCTCTGTCCCCAGCCTTAGCTCCCTCCTCTGCCTGTGGGAGCAGAGGCAGTGAGAGGAGACAGGGACCCCAGTGTTGGGATTGGGAGATGCCTAGGACGCCCTCACCCTTCCTCTGCCTTTTGTGGCCAGAATGAGGCTGGTTCTGGCTGCTGGGGCTTGAATTCCTAATTTAGAGGGTCATGGGGAACTGGGTGCAAGGAATGGCAGGTGAGGATGGTCTAGAGACCCCATGGGGGCAAAGGCCTGGGAGGGGCTGGGCTGCACACTGGCCTGTCCCTCAGGCCTTGGGCACCAGATAAAAATAGTCCCTGGTCTCAGAGAACATGAGCTGACGTTGGGGCCCAGGGTTCTGGTTTGGGCTCTTTGCTCATCTTTGTGTGACTTTGGGTGGATCTCAGCCCTTTCTGGGCCGCAGCAGCCTCCACTGTGTGCTCAGGGATGCTGGGGCCCCAGAGAGGCTAGGCGATGGGAAGGAGCCCCAAAGCAGGCATGGGGAGTCAGGGTGGGTGCCTGGGCCATGCCCTGCATGAGTCTGAATTTGCCAAGTGAAGGGTCTGCATGCAGAGGGACATTTGAGGGCTCGGGGAGGCAGGGTTGGGTAATTCATGTACACAGAACCCCCCACCCCCAGGTCAGGCCCTGACACAGCGGGACTTAGTAAATGCCAGCTGCCTTTTCTCCATCTCCAACCTCCCACAGCCCACATCTGGACCCACTGCTTCTCGACATCTCCATGACAACCAGGGCCTTGGAAGAGCTGGATGGAGGCCTGGGCAACTGCCAGGCGAGTGAGGACCTCTCTGCACTGGATGACCACTACCCTGGCCAACCTCAGGATAACAGGACTCGAGGTACCTGCGGGGATGCTGGCAGCATGAAACTCATGCCCCCATCCTCCCGTTGAGCCAGGTAGCTCACCTTCAGAGACCAGTACTTGGACTCCTACATTGGCTTAAACTGTGCTCCCGTTTCTCACCTCTGGCCCCTTGGTGGCTCAAGAGTCTGTAAAGAGCCCCAAATGCAGAGGGATTGGGCCACACAGGTCAGGGTTCATATCCCAGCCTGCTAGGGAAATGCTGTTTGCCTTTGTGCAAGGCTGCTTCTGAGTCTGTCTGCTTTACAATCTATAAAGTGGGAGCAGCTAGCAGTCCCTCGCCCAGCGGAGCCCGGTGGAGGGTGGGATTGGCCTGGGGGGCCTCATGACCTTGAGTCTCCCTTTTTCCCCACCAACAGTGATGCCCAGTCTAGCTGACTCCAGCGTCTGGCCCCACGTGAGTAGCTGGGACCCTTGGGTTTCAGCCCAGAATGCACCTGGAGTCGGGGACATGCTAGCCAAGGTGATGGGTTTCTACAGCCCATGGCAAAGGCTTGAGCTCCCTCACAGGAGGGATGGGAAGGAAATGCTTGGGATGACTGGTGACTCCCCACAGGATTCTCAGGAGCCTGAGGCTGAGGGCAGTCCCACAGGCGGAGTGGATGCCAGGCCCAAGAAGACAGAAAAGGGGCCTGTAGCCAAAATGGCCCCAGGACCGGGCAAGGAGAGGCTGAAAGCAGGAGCAAGTGGGTTTGCAGGAGGCAGGGGTGAGGTGGAGACTGGGTATGGACTGGCATGGGGAGTCAATCCTGGGCTGGGTCCTTGGGCTTGGGGGTAGGGGGAGACAGGGTGGGATGTGGGCTCCTGGCTGAGTGGTGTCCAGGTGTCACAGGCAGTAACTAAAAGGGCTGGGAGCCTCTGCTAATTCATGATTCAGCTAATTATCTTCTAGAATATTCTCCACATCACAATGAAACTGCCAAGCTTAGTTCCCCTGCTCAGGGCCACACAGCCAGGGCAGGACTGAGCCAAGTTTAGGGCGCAGGTCTGCTCCTTGGTACCAACCCCAGCCAAGCACTTGCTCATGCAGCTCCCCGGAGCCCTGCACGCAAGAAGGCACAAGCCGTGCCACCCCCGCAGCCGCCCCCACCGCCCCGGGCCCTGAGCGAGGAGCTACCCTGGGGAGACCTGTCGCTCAACAAGTGCCTGGTGCTCGCCTCGCTGGTGGCACTGCTGGGCTCAGCCTTCCAGCTGTTCCACGGTGAGCCTGCACCCCCAGGGTTGGGTCTTTGCACCCCTCCATGACAGGCCCCTGTTGCTCCCCTCTCCCACTTTCCCCTAAAATGGACCTTGTGCGAGGGTACTCCTCTGCCCTCCTTGCTTTATGCACCCCTTGTTGCCGGTGCGGTGCTTCTGGCGGCCCAGAGGCCAGTCTTCCTCGTCGGGGCGCCGCCGCAGGGAAGCCTTTCTTCTCCAAGGGTCCTGGGCCTCTTTCTCCAGGATGAGCTTTGTGTGCTTCCTTCCCCTGCCCCACAATGGACCTTGAGGGGGCTTCCCCTCCCAGTGCACCTTCGTGCACTTCCCTCCCCTATGAACAGCCATGGACCTAGCATGCCCAGGATGGGCCGTGTGTACCCCGCATTTGGTGATATGCGCCTTTCTTGGGCACCAGGGTGCTTTTGCAGCCCGTGGAGAAACTGCATGTTCTTTTGCAACTGGAACGAGGGAGGTTTGGGGGGAAGGGGGTGCCCGCAGCAGGGGAGACCTGGAACCCCTTCCCAGGTCCTGAGGGATGCAGCCCAGCCTCAGCATACCCACTGGAGTCTGGCTGGTCCCCTTTGCCTGTCCCCAGGCAGAGGGAGCTCTAGCGGCAAGGGCTGCGAAGGACAGTGTGGTCGGCACCTCCATGCAGGCTGACACACATCCCCTCTGGTCCTCACCCAGATGCTGTGGCTGGGGAGGCGGACGCCCCTGCGCCTGTCCCTGAGCCATGGGTCCCACCAAGCTCGGCCCCAAAGGAGCCTGCTTTGCCCCTGGTAAGCGCTTCTTTCAACAGCACTGGGCAGAGGGGCCCTCATCCAGGGAAGGGGCCCAGGCCAGTGGTGTAGACTTGCACTGATCCCACCATCCTGCACTGATCCCACCATCCTACACTGTCCGCGTTGCAGCCAACGCCCGTGGCCTTGGCCCCTCCATCCGGATCCCCTGTACCCCAGATGGAGGCAGGGGAGAAGACCAAGGTTCCTGGGAGAGCGGAGGCTGTAGAGAAGGAAAAGGGGGAGCCTGGGGAGGCCGCTGGGAAGGAGCGCGCGCCCCTGGCCCACCGAGGGCTGAAGGAGAGGCCGCGGAAAGAGAGTCCGCGGAAGGAGAGGCGCCGGAAGGAGGAAAGACCGCGGAGGGAGGAGACAACGCAGAAGGCAGAAAAGCCACGGGCCGCTAGGGAGCCCCGGGGAGCCCAACCCCGGGGCTGGGAGGCACGCGAAGAAGGCCGTCGGCCGTGGGTGAGGGACTCCCGAGACCCAGAGCACAGGAAAAGGCAGACCTGGGCTTCCCCGCGGCGCCCCGACGAGGAAGACTGGCCTCTGTGCCGCCGGAAGCACCGCACCGGCAAGGGGCGGGACTGAGCCGGATCTGGATCCTGCGCTGGAATCTCGGGCCTCTTCTTGTGGCCCCCGGTTCCAGCAAAATAAAGGGAGTACTGCGGTCCCCATCGCCTGCTCCTTTGAGTCCCGACTCCAGAATCTGAATGGCTGGGATAGGAACTTCAGATGGGGGTTCGGTGGTGGACGGGGAGGCAGGGGGTGCCAACGGCGTCCAGTCCTGTGAGCCAAAGGACAGCTGGGCTTGGTGGTGATGCGTTTGGTCATCGACTAAAACGTGTGCTTGTGTGAACAGGTGTCATGACACCAAAATAACCACCAAAAGTGGTTATTTAATATGGATTAATGCCTTTTAACCTTACTGCTCCCCTGGGAGAAAAGTGATCCTACTTTCTAGATAAGGAAACAGGTTTCTTAGCTGGTGGCCTTGCCTGGGCCAGCTGGCAGAACCTGAATTCCTGCAGCAGCCTTGTCCCCCGCCTGCCTCCAAACACTCACGGACGCCTCTGCCGAGTGCTTGTGGTCTTTATTGGGGTTCGAATAAATATGGGCAGGGGCGCCACTCGGGGCACGACAGGGTCACCGGCAGCCGCACTCAGTGGCCACCATGTTGGGCACGTGGTGCGCACTGATGTGCTCCTCTGACAGGCTGATGAGCAGCTTGCCCGCGTAGGCCGTGGGCACGCAGCAGGGCGGGCGTGCCAGGGCGGCCCCTCGGGCCTGCATCTTGAGTAGCAGCACCACGTGGTTGCCATAACGCGGGTTTTGGTCGGACTGCGGCCAGCCGCACTCACCCTGGCAGTTGTTCGCCTGGTACATCTCGGGGATGAGCACCGAGCGCTCGGCGCGCAGATCTACGCTCAGCTGGTGCAGCGCGCAAGGCCCGCCGGCGGCCCCGGCCCCCGCGCTGCGCTGCGCCCGCGCCGGCCCGTTATGCTCCCGCCCGCGCCACTCTGCGCACAGGCCCTGCAGTGCTTTTAGTAGCAGCAGGGCGCGCAGCGGGCCGCTGGGGCTTCCTGGGTCCCCCGTGGACCCCGGGCAGAGCGCGAGCAGACGTGCCAGCAGCGGCGGGGCGGTGGGCGGCAGCCCTGGGAGGCCGCGCATCTCTGCGGCCGCCGCCTGCAGCTCGGCAGCCACGCGGCGCGTCAGGCCCGCGGCCCATGGCGCTGACATGGGTCCCTGAGGCTGCTGTGCGGGATCCACGGCGGCAGGTGGCAGCAGCAGCAGCAGGGGCTGCTCGCCATCGAGCAGGCGCTCCAGGGCCGCGGGGTCTGACAGGTTGACAAGGCCCTGCGGGAAGCCGGCTAGCGCTCCTGGGTCCACGGCCAGGCGTGGTGGCAAAGCCTGGTCCGTGGGCCCCCGAAGCGCGCGCACCAAGTGCGTGAGCGTCTCCAGGAAGGGGTCAGTGCTGGGCGGCAGCTCCTTCGGCTCCAGCGTCGGCCTGAAAGGAGAGGGGGGTCGGGTGTGTGCGCGAGGAGGCGCCGCCCCCACCTCCCCGCTCTCCTGGGCCCAGCTAGCGCGCACCTGGGCGATGGGAAGGGCAACGTGTCCAGTCGGCCGTTCCCCGGCATGGACGCGGGCCCGGGGCGCGGCAGCAGGAGCAGGGCCGGGGTCATCCGTGTGAAGCAGCGGGAGTCGGCGCCGAACAGCAGCGACTGTAGCTGGGTGGTATTCAGGAGGGCACCTGCGCAGGAGAGGGGCTGGCTCAGGGACTGGGCCCAGGGTATCTGCCCCAGTCCGCTCTCGATGGGGCCTACCGTCTCCGCGGTGCCGCAGGGTTAGGGCGAGTCCGGGGCCGTGCCAGGCCCCTGTGGGGTGGTCCATTGCCAGAGCCAGGTAGCGGGTGTTCCCGGATAGGCAGAGACTCTGAGGAGATTGGTGCTCAGCCTGGCTGGGCGAGGAGGGAGGGCGGGGGTG